GCCGTCACTGCGTCTGGGCGCCCGAGCCCGGCCTTGGCCAAGGCTGCCCGCGCTGGCGGGGAGGGGGCAGGCGGGGGGAGGAGCCTCCAGATGCCCCCGAGGGAGCCAAGCTACCAAGAGACCCCTATCAGGAGAGACCACCTAGAGGAGAGACATGCTCCTGGGTAGACCCCCAACCCGAGACACCCTAAGGGAGACATCCTCGCTTAGATATATTCCCTATGCGGACACCCCCGTAGTCCCCCCCCAGCGACCCCCTTAGTGAGACACATTCCCACGGGGAGAAAGTCTCCACGAGGAGGGCTTCTCCCATCAGGAACTCTCCCTCACCCTGAAAACCATTCCTAAGACAGATGGTCTCTGAGAGGTGACACTCCCTCTCGAAAGTCCTCCTCTCAAAGAAAGATCTCCACGGGTGACATTTTATGTGGGGATCCTGGTGAGGGTTCCTCCAATGAAAAGCCCCGTAAAAGCCATATTCTTTGTGGGAAATTGTCCCCACCCATGAGACCCCCATATACCAAGGAGATACAGTCTTACAGAGTGACATTTTCACCAAGGAGACCCGTCCTTACGCCAGAGGCCCCTCAGAAAAACATCTGCATGCGTATACCACCCCCTTCCCAAGCAGAGCCTCCTCAGGGAACCCTGCACCCCCTCTAGCGACCCCCCACCCCCCGTCGTCAGGATTAAGGAGCCAGGCCCGGCTGGGCTGTATTTATAGGAGCGATTAGCTGGTAGTTGGGGAGGGGGGCAGCTGAAGAGATTTTTACAACCTCCCCCCCCCCCGCAGTGTTCCTACAGCTGAGGCCAAACCGCCCATGCTTCCCAGAGTTTGAGCGGAAAGCGTCGAGGACCTCCCCACTTCAAATCTAGGCATTGGAGGGGAGGGTGGAGAGGGGACGTCCCAAGGGTCCGGGCTCCTAACTGGCCCGAAGGCCCTCGAGGGAGCGGTCACTGGATGGGAGCGACCCCTGCCGGCCAACGGGGGCGACGGCGAGGTCCAGGTCCGGGTGTTTCCGGGCGCTTATCTCCTCATCTCTGCGCCTTTGCCTGAGTTGTCTCTGTTTCTCGCAGCCTCTGTTGGTCGGCAGGTTCGTGTTGCCGTCTCGCTGAGTCTGTTCCTCGTACTTCTCTGTCCAAGGTCTGGACTCTGCTCTTGTCGCCCCTTCTCACGCCCGCGCCACGGGAGCTCTCCGTGGTGCTGATCTCACGTGCTCCTGTCCGCGGTGCTGAAATCCGAGCGCAGGATCGGGGGCTGAGGGAGGTCAGGGGAGGAGAAAGACTGGCAGGAGGCACAGCCCAGAGGCTGCACAGATCTGACCCACGAGCACCACGGACTACCCCAAGATGGACCGAGGGAAGGCTAGGTCCATTAGGTCTTGGTTGCTGAAGCCTCCAGGACATCAATGGGTGCCCGCAGAGGGACCTGGAGACAGTGCCTCCTGATTCATTCATCTACTCAACTCGTATTGAGCACCTACTGTGTGCAAAGTCGTGTTTTGGGACATGGGAGTACAGCAGTGAAAGAGACAGACAAAAACTCTGCACTAGCCTGAGAAGGGAGGAAGAGAGATTTGTGCTAGTGGTCATTGCTCACAAAAACCGTATGCACACTCTACAAGCACAGACGCATGCACACACACACACACACACTCTGCAAACACACAAACAAGAACATACCCACACACGCTCAGCAAACACAGACACACACAAACACATATACATAAACTCACTCTGCAAACACACACACATGCAAACACATACTTAAAAAACACAGACACAGACAAACACATATACACAATCTCACACTCTGTAAACACACACACATGCAAACACATCCTTAAAAAACACAGGGATATACACACTCAGCAAATGCAGACACACACAAAAATCACATACAAACACTCAATAATCATAAGCACACACACATAGTTTCACAACCAAGAGAAGGTCAGCTACACACAAACTCTCATCTGACATAGAGACACATTATCCTCCCAACACAACACATGGACTCACACACACATTCACATACCCACTGCAGGGCTCTTTTTCTCGTCAGACTCTCCCACTAGAATGTCAGCTCTCTGAGGGTTGAAATTTTCATGTCTTGGTCACTACTGCATCCCCAGAACCCGGCACACAGTAGGTGCTCAATAAATGTCCGTTGAATGAATGAATTGAGGAAATGTTCTCAAGGGACACATATTCACAGAAACTGCAGAGGGACACACACACACACACATTTCAGATGCAGACACACCCTCTCCACACATGACAACACCTTCTTGTTCACTCATGGTCAAATTCATGGTCAACAACCTTTATTCACTGACTATCCGCAACATTTTCACATCCTGATCCTACATCCCCCTCCCCCACATTTATTATCTGACTCTTACTCAACTGGACACACTTGGCTTCGGACACATACAGGCCTCCTTACCCAGATTTTGAACACACACACACAACCACACAACCACGAGCCACACATGAACATACCCTCACACAACAAACACACACATACACGCTCAACACACATATGCAGCCACACAAACACACCGTCATCCAACACACACACACACACACACACACACTCCCCACACACATAGATACAGACCTTAAGCCACAAGGTCAACATAAAGGCAAACACAGGATATATACACACCAGCCCAGGGTCCACCAGCCTGCAGTCAGGTGGAGCAGGGGCGGGGCAGTGGGAAACCCCTCCCCTGCACCAAACCACGCCTCTTTTGGCTGCTGCTGTGTCCTGGACTTGACCCTGAGGTGTCCTGAGCAGCGCCCTAGACCCCAGTCCGGCTAACAGGTGAGGGGCGGCCCGAGGGGGCAGAGTGGGGGAGGGAATTGTCCTGTCTCCGCAGACCCCCAGTTTCCCCTACCCTGGGGCTTTTGGACCCCAGCAGCAGAGCCCGAGTCCTGCCACAGGCAAGCTTGGCTCCAAAGGCCCAGCCCTGGGTGGCAGTCCCTAAGCCGATTGTGGGTCGAGAGAAGGTGACCATGAGAAGGGCCAGCAGGGATCGAGAGGGAGGGAGGAGACTGGGCAGAAGAGAGGGAGGAATTACTGGACCGAAGAGGGAAATTGGAAGAGCTGGGGAGGTCCCCTGAGCTCTGAGGACGGAGGGGGTCGCCTGAGGGCTCGCAGGGTGAGAGATCTTGCTGGGTGTGAGGGGGGAGGGGCACTATGGTCAAAACGGCGGGGGGGACACTTGGGCCTTGGGCACTTGGGGAGGAGGGGATATGGGTCTGATGCGGGGGGCTTCGGGGTCAGAGGCAGGCCTTAGTAGCCCCCTGGGACTTGAAGGTCCTCGGCCATTGCTTCCTTATCAACTGCCCCTTCTCTGCTCTGCCTGGCCCTGTCTCCTGGGTGTGCATCAGGAGGGTGCCACCCTGAGTTTGCAAAAAGGGGAAGCCGACCTCACCCTATATCCTATCTGACTCTTATCTCAGGCAGACATGGCCTGCAGGGGCTGCACTCGACCCAGGGGCCTGGCCCGGGCCCTGCGACTGACCCTGGCATGGATCCTGCTGGGAGCCTGTGGAGGGAGCCACCCATTCCCGGCCACGTCCTGGAGACATCAGAGGCTGGCGGCCGATCTGGGCACAGGCCAGTTGCATCTGGCAGGTGAGCACTCCAGACCCCGCCTAAGCCCCCAACACCCAGGAACCCCCACTTGGCCATAGCAATGATAGAATTTCCTTGAGCGGGACCAGGGTGAGCATCCAGGGCTAGTGCTGAAGAATGATGGTTAAAGAGCACAGACTCTGGAGTCAAATTGCCTGGGTTCAAATCCCAATTCTGCCACTTCGTAGCTCTGTGACCCGGAGCAAGTCACTTAACTCCTCTGGGCCTCGTGTGGGCCACTACAAAGGGGGAGAAAGAATAGACCTACTTGATAGCGGTGTTGTAAAGGGGCGCATGTAAGTCTATGAGCACTCTACCACTGCCAGGGATGTAATAAATGATAAGCTGATTATGACCAATGATTATTATTACTTGAAGCTGCATTTGCATCCCCAGTGAAGAGTCTTTATTTAAATTTTATGTTTGGGAGGACTGACATAAGTGGGGTCTCTCCTCTTCAGGGGACCCCCAGCCCTTGGTTCCCCAACCCTACCTAAGGATCCAAGACCCCAACTCACAGGAGGCCCCTTCTTCATGGCCCTGTTGTCCCTCAGAGATGGACACGCCAGAGGCATCGGGCCCTGGGATCGTCCCAGAGCGCTGCGGGGAACCGAATCCTGGGTGAGTACAGCACCCCCACCCCCCAGCTTTTCCTTGTGTGGTTTGCTTAGTTGCCCTGCCAGGGGCCGGGGCCCCCGCGCATCCTGACCCATCTGGGTCTGTCTCTCCCGATGTCCAGGTGCAAATCCTTCCTGGGACACCTCCAAGTTGCCCTCCGCAGTCGCTTGCGCCTGCTGCTATTGGGGGTACGCCTGGCGCAACCACTCTGCGCGGAGCTCTGCGATGCCTGGTAGGAGAGGCGGGGTTGAGGGCGTGGCCTATGGTTTGGGCGGGGCCGAAGGCAGGATCTGCGGCTTGCTGGTCCTAGTGTTTGAAGGGGCGTGGCCTGCATCCGACACCGCCAAGGCCTAAAGGATGAGGGCTAGGGCTTAGAGGCTAGGCAGAAAGGGGCGGGGCCTGTGGAGGCCCCGGCTTTTAAGATTGGCAGTACGTGGCCTTCCCTGGACCTGTTTTAAGTGGCGGGGCCTCTTGATTGAAAAGATGAAGGTAAAAGGGTGGGTAATGGAAGGGGGTGGCCTGGAATAGATGGTCTGAGGTCTACAGGGATGAGGACAGTTGTGACAGAGCCCTGGGTTTGTGTGGAGAATATGGGGCGGGGTGAAATTTGGAGGATGGCGTTTGTAGGGCCGTGGTGCTAAGAGGCGGGGCCTGGATCTGGGAGAGGACATACATCCAGCGAAGCCGTGGAGAGCAGGAATCCCACCAGAACGTGGCTGTGGGGCCTTTATCCACTTTCTTCTCTCCATATACCATCCCCAGGTTTGCCACCTGCGAAAGTGATATCACCTGCGGCCCCACTTGGCTCCCTTTCCTAGAAAAGAGGGGCTGCGAGGCGGACTGCACTACCTATGGGCAGGTGAGCATGGGACAGAGGGCACAGGGAAGAGACTGAGACCTCCCCTTACTATGTCCTGTCTTAACCCGCCTAGGCCCCAAAATCTGGCCTGGCACCCAAGGCCCCCACTCCCACCTTTTCCCCTTCCGCAGTCCAACTTCCGTAGTGGGATACGCCAGTAGCCGCTCTAAGGCCCACTGAGTCCGGATTTGCCCTCCCCAAGGGACCGTCTCCGCTCTAGGCCCATCCACAGTTCCCCCTGGAATACCCAGAGGCCCGAGTCACCTTCCCCATGCTGGCCCAGCCTTAATCTAGTCCTCCCCCACCCCAGCCCTCCGGACGCAGTAAGAACGACTCGTCCTCCCCAAGGCCCCGCCCCCACTATGGCCCCGCCCCCAGGCTCCCGGGAAGACCCAGAGGCGGGAATTGCTACCCGCAGCGGAACTCCCAGACTCTCCCTTCCTGAGGCTACGCCCCTGGACACGCCCTCCGCCCGCGCCCAGAGGCCACGCCCCCAGGGTGCCTGGACTCCGCCCACTCGGGCCCTAACTCCGCCCCTTCCCCAGACCTTCGCTGACGGAGCCGAGCTTTGCCGCTCGGTTCTGGGCTACGCGCTGCCGGTGGCAGCCCCTGGCGCTGGTCACTGCCTCAACGTCTCCGTCTCGGTGCTTCCGCGTCCCAGACACGGACGGAGGGCCCGGGAAACCGCCTCCCCGCGCCGCCGCCGCCGTCGCTCCTGGATCCTGGGCGCTGCGGGCAGCGGGAGCGGCAGCGGCAGCGGCAGCGGCCCCTAGGGGGCGCCTGGCCTTGGATGGGAGATGGGTCCCCTCCCCCGCCCATCCCCAGCCCGGCCCCTTAAGACGCCCAGAGCTCCACTCCTCTCCCCCTCTGCCTTCTAGTTTCCAGAGTCCTGCCCCTCCTCCCTGGGGCCCCAGAGACTCACCTCTCTCTAGCTTATTAGAAAAATAACCTAACCAACTCTACTCATTTTCTCCTCTCCCCTCTGAATAAAGTCGCCAACTAGAGCACGTGATGTGGCTGCTTCTTGGGGAATAGGTAGGAAGGATGGTTGCCAGAAAGTGATAGGTTCTAATCCTCAGGTCCTAGAGTTAGCGACTGATTCATACTAGCGTGTAAATGATGGATGGCCTACACCCTGGAGCACTTGTCATAACGTGGAATATTCAGGTGTCAGAAATGGGGTGTGGCAGGATCAGAAGAAGGGCTGACAGGGGCAGGAGGTTGTTCTCCCGCTGTGTGCCACGAGGACCGCCAAGAAGCCCTCTGACTTGTATAGACCTCGAGACACCTTTTATGGCCTTCTCCTCTGACTAAGCAGGCCCAACAGTGTCTGGCATAATGCCCCCTTCCTTCTTCCCATTCTCCCAAATCCCAGTCCCGGCCCTGAGACAGGGGACTGGACTCAGATTTGGGACTCCAATTGTAAGCTCTACTCCTAATTCTCCTCCTTATCCACAGGCCCTAGGAGAGCCTCGGTTTCCTCTCCTGGAAAACGGGCAATGTCCCTTGTAGTTCTGATTGATGGCTGCCTCCTGTGTCCCGGCACTGTGCTGAGATAGATGAGGCCCATCCCCTGCCCTCAGGGAGGACAGAATAACATAAGAAGTGCCCCACTGGGAGGGTAGCAGACAGGCCTCTTCCAGCTGCAAGAGACAAACTCAGTTCGAAGTGACTTCAGCCAAGATGGGCTTCAGAAATGGCTGTATCTAGGTTTGTAAATGACATTAGGAATCTATCTGTATCTTTTCTTGGCTATAGTCTGGGACAGCACCTCCTCACAGTAGTAAAATGGACCAGCAACTCTGTGATGCCAGTGGTTAAAATGGGCCTATTTCTTGGTAGGACCAGCGAAGCTTCCAGGGCTGGCTCTCACTGATCAGCCTGTCATGAGCCCATGACCAATCCAGACATGTGCCCAGGGGATGCTGTGCTCTCACTGGCCTGACCTGGGTTGTGGGCTTGTGCCGGAAGGCCCATGGTGGGGTCAGGTCCATCTGAACAACATGGACTGAGGATGGGGGAGGGTGGTCCCCCTAAAAGACAGTCAGGTGCTGGAGCCAGGAGCAGGGGGAGGGGTGCTGGGCAGGGATCAAGATGCATCAGCTAGGGCCGGCCCTGTGGCTTGGTGGTTAAGTGCGCGCGCTGCGATGCTGGTGGCCTGGGTTCGGATCCCGGGTGCGCATCGAGGCACCACTTCTCCGTTCATCCTGAGGCCGAGTCCCGCATACAGCAACTAGAAGGATGTGCAGCTACGACATACAACTATCCACTGGGGCTTTGGGGGGAAAAAATAAAATCTTTAAAAAAAAAAAAAAAAAAAAAAGATGCATCAGCTAGAGACTGCTGCTTCAGACCCTGACTCTGTAGTATGTCTACCTGGGCTCACAGCCCAGTCCCACCATTTATTCACGCTGTGACTTTGCGCATGTTGCTCAGCCCTCTGAGCCTCAGTTTCTTCATCTGTGAAATGAGAATAGTTGCTCCTCTCATAGGGTTGTTGAATTAAATGGGTTAAGGCAAGTTGTTCTGGTTATGCATCGCTGTGTAAAAAACTACTCACTTAGTGCTGTAAAACAACCTCATTCTTCTTCGTGGGTCTGGGTTCCCGGGCTGGGCAGGGCAGGTCTTGCTCGAGGCTCTCCTGCAGCTGCAGAGGTGGCTGGGGCTGGCCTCCCCTCGAAGGCCTCCTCACTCGCGCACCTGGTGGTTGGCGCCGGCTCTTGTCTCGAACCTCCGCTGGGGCTGTCGGCCAGAATCGCGACCCACGGCCTCTCCCTGTGGCTTGGGCTTCCTCACCACATGGCGCTGGGTTCCCAGGGCAAGCGTCCCAAGAAAGAGCCAGATGGACATTGTCTCACCTTTGACAACCTAGCCTTGGAGGACACACAGTGTCACCTCTGCTCTCTACTCACTAAAGTGAGTCACTAGAGCCAGCTCATATTCAAGGGGAGGCGTCACAGTCTCCGCCTCCTAATGGGAGGAATGTCCAATAAAGTGCTTAGAAAGCACCCGGCACATAATTAACACTCAGTAGAAGAGAGACATCATCCATTACCATTGTTGTTGATGTTACATATTGTGTTATCAGGACAAAGAGGGTGAGCAAGCAGTCAAGGAAGACAAGTGACAGAAGCCTTTGAAGGAGCTCCAGGCAGATGACCAAGCCACAGGGCAGGGCTCCACGCAGGAGGGCTGGGGATTTCAGGTTCTGCAAACTCCAGCTGTTCAGCGAACCTGGAGCAGAGCTGGGGGCAGATCACGGAGGGCCCTGAACGCCAGGCGAAGGCACTTGGACCCCATGAAAAGGGGTGTGAGAGGCATGGAAGGTTTATGCAGGAGAAGACCCCTCACTCTTGTCTGCCACTTGCAGACAGGACAGGGGAGGGCGAGGGGGAAGTGAGGGACACCCACGAGGACCCCAGAACAGGAAGCGGAAGATGGGCAGAGGGGGATTCGGAGACGGATTCGGAGGAATAAACCACAGGGCTGTCCTGAGAAGAGCGAGAGTCATCATTTGAAACCTCTGAGCAGTGCGGGTGGCTGTCCCCTCATGTTAACAGCACCCTGGGGATCCTCAGCAGGACTCCACATTCTAACTCCCAGGGGAGCTCGATGCTGCTGGGCTGGGGACCTGCTTCGAATATCCAGGGATCCAAAGACTTTTGTTAGAAGTCACATTTGCAAGTGACAGCCTTAGGGTGCACGCTAGGTTCTGCCTGTTGCCAGCTGCGAGGGAAGGGGGCAGTGTCTCCTTATCTTGGCAAGGCAAATTCCACCAGCAGTCATCAGAAGGGCCTATAATTTCAAGATGAACTGTAATTCTAATAACTCTGAGAGGGAAAGAGGCAAGTCTGAGATACTCCAAATTCACAGCACAGAAAAGCAAGACAAGGCCGAGTTGTAAATGGAATCAGGCTCTATAAGGTTGGCAACTACAATGATAACCACAGGCCGAGGCTGAGTAGAAGGTGGCCCTTGGGTGGGGGAACGCGGAGGCCGCCGCTCTCCCCTAAGGCCCCTCACACATGGGCCTTCCTGCAGCCAGGTCCTCTCGTCTCCGGGTCTCCGCACATGCTGGTCCCACTGCCTGGAACCCCTTTCACCCTCCTGTTATCTGTTCCACCCCTCACCCTTCAGGTCTCGGCCAGTCGGCTCCTCGGGCTCTGTGGGCCTGCCTGGGAGCCGGCCTCCCCATCCCACAATCCCGGCGCCCTCTGGACCTCAATGGGAGGCCTGGGACCCTTTCTGGCTGGGTCAGCACTGGCTTCCCAGGGTCCAGCACAGGACCTGCATGGAGCGGAAAGGTGCTCTGTTATGGGCTGATTCCCCTCCCTCAAATTCATGTTGAAGTGCTAACCCCCAGGACCTCAGAACGTGACGGTGTTTGGAGATAGGGCCTTTAAAGAGGTAATTAAATTAAAATGAGGTCATGAGGGTGGACTAATGCAGTGACTGGACTCCTTATAAGAGGAGATTAGGACACAGACATGCACGGAGGGAAGACCAGGTGAGGACACAGGGAGAAGACGGCCGACTACAAGCCAAGGAGGGAGGCCTCAGGAGTTAAATCTGCAGACACCTTCATCTCAGGCTCCTAGACTCCAGAACTGTGAGAAAATAAATTTGTTGCTTAAGCCTCCCAGTCTGTTGTACTTCCTCATGACAGCCCTAGCAGACTAATAACACGCTCTATAAATAATACTCCCACAATGCCCTGGGCTTCTGCCATCAGAGCACTTACTAAAAAGTGAAGGGGCCAGCCCCATGGCATAGTGGTTACGTGCGTGTGCTCCGCTACTGGTGGCCCGGGTTCGGACCCCGGGCCGCACCATGCACCACTTGTCCGGCCATGCTGAGGCTGCGTCCCACATACAGCAACTAGGAGGATGTGCAACTATGACATATACCTATCTTCTGGGGCTTTGGGGAAATAAAGGGAAAAAAAAAGGAGGAGGATTGGCAATAGATGTTAGCTCAGAGCCGGTCTTCCTCAGCAAAAAGAAGATTAGCATGGATGTTAGCTCAGGGCTGATCTGCCTCACAAAAAAAAAAAAAAAAGTGAAGAGCCGGGGCCAGCCCGGTGGTATAGTGGTTAGATTCACATGTTCCACTTCGGTGGCCCAGGGTTCGCAGGTTTGGATCCCGGGTGCAGACCTACGCACCTCTTGTCAAGCCATGCTGTGGCAGGCATCCCACACATAAAGTAGAGGAAGATGGGCATGGATGTTAGCCCAGGGCCAATCTTCCTTGCCAAAAAAAAAAAAAAAAGTGAAGAGCCATTTCCTTTCTTCCTTTCCACTAAAATCCCACTGTTCAAGTCAAGGTGGGGTCAAGGGTGGGGGATGGGGGAATACGGGGTCTCTCCCTACCCCCAGGTACCAATTCTTGACTCTTTACCCCCAATATTCCACTCCCCTTCCCAAGGATTGCTTTGGGTACAGATATGTCCTATTTTCAGCCAGGAAGTGACAGGGCAGCTGCTTGGGGATGAGGCCTTGGGAGGTTGGGATGTGACGTCCAGAGCTATGGCAGCTATCTTGGGACCACGAGAGGCAAAAAACACCAAAGGTGGCAAAATAGATGGATTTTAAAAAATGTCTTTCAACCCACCAACTGAGAGAAAATATTTGCAAATCATATATCTGACAAAAGGTTAATCTCCAAAATATAAAAAGAACTCACACAACTCAACAGCAAAAAAACAAACAACCTGATCAAAAAATGGGCTAAGGATATGAACAGACATTTCTCCAAAGAAGATATACAGATGGCCAACAGGCACATGAAAAAATGTTCAACTTCACTAATCATCAGGGAAATGCAAACCAAAACTACAACGAGCTATCACCTCACACCCGTCAGAATGGCTATAATCACCAAGGCAAAAAACAACAAATGCTGGAGAGGCTGTGGAGAAACGGGAACCCTCATACACTGCTGGTGGGAATGCAAACTGGTGCAGCCTCTATGGAAAACAGTATGGAAATTCCTCAAAAAATTAAAAATAGAAATACCTTATGATCCAGCTATCCCACTACTGGGTATTTATTGAAAGAACTTGAAATCAACAAGTCAAAGAGACTTATGCACCCCTATGTTCATCACAGCATTATTCACTATAGCCAAGACATGGAGGCAACTCACATGCCCATTGACTGATGATTGGATAAAGATGTGGTATATATACAATGGAATATGACTCAGCCATAAAAAAACACAAAATTGTCCCATTTGCAACCACATGGATGGACCTGGAGGGTATTATGTGAAGCAAAATAAGGCAGACAGAAAGACAAATACCGCATGATTGCACTCATATGTGGAAGATAAACAAACACACGGACAAAGAGAATAGACTAGTGGTCACCAGAGGGGAAGGGGGTTGGGGGTGGGCACAAGGGGTAAAGGGGTGCATTTATATGGTGACAGATAAAAATTAGACTACTGGTGGTGAGCATGATGCAGTCTATACAGAAACTGATAAATAATGTTCACCTGAAATTACACGTTATAAACCAATATGACCTCAATAAAATAATAAAAAACAAAAGCAAACGGTGTCTTTGATGTCGTTGTTGAGCCATCTGACTTCCCAACTTCCTGTGGAGTGAGATAAACCCAACCGGCTGCAAGGCCGTAGGGGAAACAAACGCTTCCTTACAAACAAATGCTGGGGGGAGCGCCCCTGAGGGCAAGCCTCCTCGGAGGGGAATCTGGAAATCTCTCTCCAAATGACAAAGCACATAAATCCTCTAACCCAGCAAGCCCACGTCTGGAATTCCCCCTACAGACAAAACAACCGTGCAGGAGACATGATGGCACAGCCCGGTCATTTGCTATACACACTTTACAGCGAGCTGGGCGACAACTCAACGTCTATTAAGAGGTGTTAAATAAACTACAGCAGTCCCGCCCCGGAGGACTCTGCAGCTGTAAAGGGAATGAGGAAGGTCTTTAGACACCCACTGGGAACTACCGCCAAGATCTATGTGGTGAAAAGAGTAATGTGCACATCTAGGGTATAGTTTGTTTCCATTTGTGTAAAAAAAACTTCAGGAAAGAATGTATCCATGCATATATTTGTAACATGCCGGGCTGTCTCCAGAAGGGCCTAGAAGGCACCGGCTATGGTCTGAGTTTGTGTCCCCCCAAAATTCGTATGTTGAAATCCTTACCCGAGGGCCGGCCCCATGGCTTAGCGGTTAAGTGCGCGCGCTCTGCTACTGGCGGCCCACGACGCACCGCTTCTCCAGCCATGCTGGGGCCGCCTCCCACATACAGCAACTAGAAGGATGTGCAGCTATGACATACAGCTATCCACTGGGGCTTTGGGGGAAAAATAAATAAGTAAAATTACTAAAAAAAAAAGAGAAATCCTTACCCACAAAGATGGTGGCATTAGGATGGGGGCTTTGGGGGGTGGTGAGGTCGTGAGGGTGGAGCCTCCGTGAGTGGGATCAGTCCCTTATAAAGGGACCCCAGAGAGCTCCCTCGCTCCTTCTGCCACGCGAGCACACAGCAAGAAGACGGGCCACAACCTGGAAGAGAGTCCTCCCCAGAACCCCACCGTGCAGGCACCCTGATCTTGGACTTCCAGCCTCCCGAAGTATAACAGCCAGGCACCACACAATGACATTTCGGTCAACGGTGGACCGCACATACGACACTGGTCCCCTAAGATTAGCACCGCACAGCCTGGGTGTGTAGTGGGCTACACCGTCTAGGTTTGTGTAAGTGCACTCTGTGATATTCACACGACAACGATGACGTTGCCTAACGACCCATTTCTCAGAACGTGTCCCCATCGCTAAGTGATGCATGGCTGTAAGTGTCTGTTGGTTATAGGCACCCAGTCTGTGGCATTTTGCTACAGCAGCTGGAAAGGACTGAGACGGCCCGGAAAGCCCACTAGTGAGCAGGCGCAGGGTGGGAGGGAGGCTTCTCAAAGTGCTCCTTCCTAATTCTGCCTGGGACTAAGATATCATGCATTTTAAAAATAAGCTAAAATCAATCAACCAGCACCCATCCTGTTTAGGATCCAAAATCCAGCAGCTGGGTGCAGCCACAGAGCACACCACCACCACACCTCCACCCCAAAGTACAACCCCCACGCTTGGCTTTCCTTAAACAATTTTAATCACAAACTGGGGGGGCAGGTAAAGGGGGTACAGACACGCTGGCTCCTAGAGGGAAGTGGCTGCCTCCAGGCTGCGCTCCTGGAAGTACCTGTGGGGGAGGCGGGGGCGGGTTCGGGGGCCTTCGTTGAAGTAGGACGTGATCCTCCCGAGGCCCTCCTGATCCTCCGTCCCCGAGTCCTCCCTGTGGAGAGAGGTGGCGACACTGACTCCTTGTGCCCTTCAAGCAGCGCTGAGCTGGGCCTCCCTCCCTCCTTCCTCACAGCGCCTCTGGGACACCCACCACGTAACATCCTCCGCCTCCTTCTCCAGGATGCTCTGGGCCGTGCGCCAACTGAAGCGGACAAACTGTGGGAAGCCGAACACGGGCTCCACGTGCCTCCTCAGCCATGCTTTCGTCTTGGGATCTGGGGGGGGCGGGCACTGGTGACAGCGCCTCAGCCTGGCATGAGGCCCTGCCACCTCATCTTGGGCCTCCTCCCACTGTCTGAGACATCCTCCCGCCTCAGGAGCTTTGCACGGGCAGCTCTCCCCGACTCTTCACTGGCCAAGAGATGCTCAAAGTGCAGTTTAGGGAGACTGCCTCTGAGACATCTCCCTCACCCACTCAAGGACAACAGCCATTAAACCAGCACTGTCGGGCCGTCAGGTTAATGCCCGTCTCCCCTACGTCACCATGAGCTCAGTGGGGAGAGGAAGTCCTTGTCTGTCTTGCTCACGGCTACATCCGCAGGGCTCAGCCCTGCAGGGCACGTACCAGGCGCCCAGTAAGCACTGAACGCTGGCCAGACTGCCTTTGGCCCGGACCTGGTGTCCATCCTTACTTTGGCCTCACCTAAGTTCCAATCACAGACTTGCTGTGTCACCCCACCCGACGGCCACTCCCTCCCTGTGCCTCAGAGGACCCAAGGGTCCCCTGAATCCAGCCACTGAATCTCACATCTGCCCTTGTGTGTGTGTGGGGTGGGGGACACGATTGTCTCCACTACACAGACGAGACTGAGCCTCATAATGGAGAGAAAACAATGGATTTAAGCTGGCGCCCCTCACTCCTGCCCCTTCACAAAGAGACAGAGGCCCACCCTCCCTGCGGCTCCAGAGAGCCAGCATCGAGGGAGGGAGACAGGAGGGAGCCTGCCAGCTGGGACCCAGCTCCGCCACACACCGGCCGTAACCAAGGGGCCCCCAGCATCCCCTGCTGCAAAGCGGGGTGAGCAGAACTTAGAAAACCTCAGCAGCGTGCTGGGCCTGTCCGTGTCACCACCGCTGCGGCTGCCTCAGGGCAGCACGAGGCGGGCCAGACGGCCACCTGCTCACCGTTGGGGTAGCCCGAGCCATAATCGGCGTCCAAGTCCTGCAGTTTCTCCACAAACTGCCAGTTCCTCACGGCCTGGTCTCGGGCCACCTGCAAGCAAGACAGATACTGGGGACCTCCCTCCCCCGAGGCAGCCACACCTGCCCCCTGCCAGGAGGGTGCTGGGAGCCGGCCACGGCCAGCGGGGGACTGACCTTGGCACAGATGCTGGCAGCGCTGACCACGGGGTAGAGGGCGTCGGCCTTGGCCTTGACCGTCACCTCAACGCCGGGAAAGCGCTGCTGCAGCCGCTGCTGGTACGTGTCTGGCATCCCCACGGTGTCCACAAATACCTGCCGCGGTGACAGAAATGTATTCACTCAACAGACAGCCGGAAAAACTGCAAACAATCCACCTTCCCAGTCTTTGCCCTTGTTGTTCCCGCCGCCTAAGATACTCTCCTCTCAGCTCATCCCCAGGCTGTATCTTTCCATCAGGGTCTCAGCTCAGACGCCACCTCCCACAGAGGCTTCTCTGAGCACGCTGCAGCCATTCTGCATTTACTGAGCACCTACTGTGCGCCACAGGCTGCTCTATGTGCCAGGGACATGCAGGGAAAACGCCAGACAAAAATCCCTGTCTTCCTCGAGGGGACAGCTTGGTGAGGACCACAGACAGGAAACACGGTACATAATAAAGGATAGGGCAGAGTCAGAAAGGGTTATAATTTTAAACAGCGGTGGGGGAGGTTCGGGGAAGGTCACTCTGAAGTGGCGACATCTGAATAAAGGCCTGAAGGAGGTGAGGGAATGAGCCACATGGAGATCTGCAAAAGAGTGTTCTAGGCAGAAGAAACAGCCAGTGCAAAGGCACTGAGGTGGGACCACGTCGAGGATGCTGGACAGCAGTACGCAGGCCCCATGGCTGGAGCAGAGATGAGGTCAGGGAGGTAACACGGAAGGTGACCTCCCTAGCACTATTGTTCTTAAATCACCTTTTTATTTGCTCACCAGCTGACCACTGTCTCACCTGACTAGGCCATGAACCATGAGAACAGGGCCCTCGTCTGTCTGCTCCAGTACTGTCTCGTCAGCTCCACAGTCTAGTCCTGGACCTCAGCCACCTCGTCAGCAAGGCCTCCCTTGTTACATTCCCCGTCTCAAGTGTATTTGTCCTCATTAGTCTCTCAAAACAGCCCGTTCTTTGCCTCAGAGCACTCGATGCAATGCCAACTTATATTTCTGGTAATTTAATCTCATTCTCCCCTACTTGCCTGTGAATTTTCCTGATTTAATTTCCACCGTGATCAAAAAATTAAATGTCGAGATTTACATTTCAAAAAGATGACTGTCTGTTGCTGCTGTGTATGGAGCAGATTGCAAGGGAGGGGGCTGGAGGTGGGGGGATCAGGGAGGAGGACGGGGCAGGCATCCGGGAGGCCAGGGTGCCCCGGGCGAGGACAGAGGCTGTGGGCAGGTGGACAGATGTGGGATTTGTTCTGGAGTCTGAGCCTTTAGGATACAGAGATAGATTAGTTGGGGGTGGGGCTGGGGGGTCTACCATGGTCCTCAGTAGGGCACACATTTAGGATGGGAAAGCAGCAGGAAGGCAACAGCAGCAACAAATGTTCCTGATCCGTCTGACACTGTTCCAGATACGTCTGACGCTGAATCAGCCACTGCATTTTTATACCGTTTTATCTGGAGCTGATCAAACGAGGGCAACCCAACAGCTCACCTGGGCGACCTGCACGCCCTGGTCCAAAGCATACTGCACCAGCCCGGCGGCTGTATCATGGGACAGAGAGTTCAGATTGTATTTGACCCTGCAGTGAGGACAGAGTCCAGTTAACCCCGTCCCAGCTACCGATCCCTGCCAGCCCATGCTGGCCGCCCCTCCACCCTGGCCCCTCCTAGGACCCTCACCGCCCAAGCATGCTGGTAGAGATGAGGTTTGGAGACAGCACGTCCAGTGCCCAGCCCACAAAGTCCCTGTCCTCCTTCATTTTCGCGAAGAGCCTGTCCCGCTCGCTCTCCGACAGGGTCTTTGAGTCTGGGAAGAAGGTTGGGAGAGAAGCGGAGCGGCTGGTTCTTCCAGTCCCTCCCCGAGCCCCACGGCGCCCCTGCACAGGCCCAGGTACACCCTCCCCAGATGTGCACCTCGGGCTCACCTGCCACTTTCAGGGCCTCCAGATCTGCCAGGCGGGACAGGGGGCAATAACAGATGGCGTAGACCATGGGGCCTGGGGAAGCGGAGGGTCCAACCAGTGAGGCCGTGAAGGCCGCCACCCCCGTTCCACCACCACCACTATCACCCCCGTCCCCGGGGCCGGGGCAATCCCGGCTCCCGTTTTAGTGCAACTTGCATCCCCCTGACCACGCCCCTCCCCGCCCCGGGCCTGGGGGCGCACCCAGCACCGGGCCCCGGCCCGCTTCATCGACGCCCAGGGCGCAGGGCTCCTTGCGGCACACCGCGGGCACAGGCGAGCTCAGGCGACAGCGGCCCGTATTGTCTCTCTCCAGCTCGCTGAGATCCATGCCGCCTCGGCCGCCGCCACCAGCCGCAGCAACCAGCTCCGCAGGGGCAGGTCTCGGCGCGCGTTTTCCGCGGGCCCCGCAGCGGCGCTCGCTCCCGACCAATCGGCGCGCAGGACACGCCCCCGACGCTCCCGCCGCCGTGGACGTTGGCGTCGCCGACGCCTACGCCGCTGCCTCCTGGCTTCCTGGGAATTGTAGTTCCCAAGGCGGACCGCCGAGCTCCACGTTTAGGGAACCGGATGGGTGGGGTCGCTTTCTGAGCTCCGCCGCGGGGTCTCTGCAGCCTCGCTCGCCCGGGCTGGTGAGAGAAGGAAATAAACCCGAGATGAAGGCAGGCTTTGCAGAACCCAGGCCAGTCAGGGCCTAGAAGGTCAAATACCACTGTCCTCCTAGAATACGGGTCTCCGCATCACTGGGTCCCTGTCCCCCACGTGCATTCAGGCTGTTTGTACTCGGGATCGCCGCCACTGCACACAGTCTAAGCCCCCTGGACTAGGTATCACTGCCCCCACTGGGCTCAGGCCTTCGGACTTGGGGTCCGCCAACTCCCTCTCTCCGTACCTCACCCGGATCCCCACTCCCCCCGCCCCGCCCCCTGATTCCTACCCTCTCTCTTTCGGGCTAAGCCTCCCCTACCCCGAACCGAGACCCCAGACTCAACAGATCCTGCTCAGAGTCTCCGCCCCCCACGCAGGCTCATATCCCCCAACTCAGAGTTCATTTCCCCCCTAACGCCCCTCCGACCTCACCTCTCCTTCTATTCTCTAGTCTCAGGGGGCTCACGTCCTCGGCCTGTGGGTCCCTGCCCCTCACCAGGCTCATGCCCCTTCCTCAGGGTCCAGCTCCTCCGCCTCCGTTCCCCACCCCACCTTGCTCGCGGAATCAGCGGGGCTCACATCTCCTGACTCAGCTCTCCCCTCCCCCACCACCCTCTAGCCCCAGACTCAGGGCCCCATTTCTCCTTTCCTCTCTTCCCGCCTCCCTGGGGACTCGCGGCGCCGCACTTGCCAGCCCGCCCCGGCCCCGCCTCCTCTGCGCCCGTCTCTCACCCAGGCTCAGGGCCTCCAGTCGCAGTCCATCGGCTTGCAGGATGAACAATCCCGTTGCCTGCAGGGCCGCACCTGCACCAGGTTCTCGCGGTCCATGAACACCGGGCCCAGGGCTGCGCCCACCACCTCGCGGCTGCGCTCCTGCTTGCCCACGTCACACAAACAGCGCCACTTTCCCCACGGGCCAAAGAGCGAGTTCTCCACCTCTAGGGATGGAGAGCCAGGTAGAGGGGATCTACTCCCATGCCCTCCTCTGGGGAGGGAGGAGGATAAAGACACTAACAAATAACAACAGCTCCTGTGTGCTGGGCTCTGCCTGTGTCAGGCACCCCACCATAGATTGTCTCATTTAATCTTCCCATTATACCCAGGTGGGGAAACACACCTAGAAAGACAAAGCCACCCTTCCGAGCTCGCACATCTGGTGAGGGGCCCAGACAGACTGCACACTGACACTTCCCACTTGTGCTAGCCTGCCCAGTTGGGAGTGTGGTACAACACCCTTGGTGGCCACCATCTGAAGCTGGCTCCTGTTTCCAGGGGCGTGAGCATAGGCCTGTCCAGCGGGCACAGTGCCGCCTGACCAGCAGGGCTGCCAGGTGGTAAATTAAATGACATAATTGGCATAATGAAGGTACTTAAAGCTCCTGGCCGTGGGCTCACACGTAGAACAAAAACAATTATTATGATCACATTTCAAGCAGCTACAAGTTATTTGAAGCGGTTATTCGATGCCCTTTACAACGTTCTTTTGCTGACTCCTCTATGTGTCCTATGAGACAGTCTTAACCCAACTCTGTGGCTCCCAGAGTCCTGACACCTCAGGCCCTCCCCAAGCCTCCGCCAGACAATAATGGCCACTTTCCATCCCTCCTTCAGGCCTTTTGGCCTTAGCACCTGCTGTTCCCACTCTCTTGCACACTCTTCCCCCTAAATCTTTGCATTTTTGGCTTTTGCTTGTCATTCTGGCCGCAGTGGTCACCTATCTTTTTTTTAGCGGGACCTTCTCTAACTTCAGAAATGTACCTAACCGTGAGTTTACGGATGTGTCTGCTCCGGTATGTCTCACCTGCCCACGTCTCCTTTCCCCCTGTAAGCTGCTTACGGGCAGTCTCGATTTCAATTTACAGATGAGGAGACTGAGCCTCAGAGAAAAGTAACCAGCCCAAGGGGGTCCCGCGTGGGCGCAGCTGGGCAGGGATTTGAAGTCCCTAGAGAAGGGTCTGTTTGCAGCCAGCTGGCGAAGTGGGGCAACGGGCACCTTTCTGCACCGTCACACCCGCGGCCTGCGGTTACCTTTCTCCTGATGCTGCAGCCGCAGCTGCTCCCAGGTGTCGCCTTCGCCCTGCTCGCCAAAGTAATGGTAGTCGGGGGAGACCTGGGCAGGGGTTGCCAGCAGCAGGAGCATCAGAGGCGGCAGCAGTAGCGCCGCTCGGCTGGGGGCCATGCCGGACTCCAACCGACCCCGGCGCGCTCCGAGGAGGAGCCCCGCGCGGGGTCCGCGGTGCCCGCCCGATCCCCGGGGGCGGGCGCAGTGGTGGGGGCCCGCGGCTGCGCGCTCCCCCCGCCGCCCGCAGGCGCGTGGACCCGGCCGGCTCCGCTCCCCCTCCCCTGCGGTTGCAGTGGACCCGACCGCTCGGCTCGTCCGCCCACCCCCCGCCCTGCGCGTCACGGTTCCGGCGGCGCATAAAAGGCTCAGCGGCCTGGGGCGCACTTGGCGCTGAGAACGCGAGTTCGGGTGTGTGCTTGTCCGTGCGTCCCGCCCTTGCCCACGCAGGTATGGACACCCGGACTGCACGGTCTTGGGGGGACCCTTTGGAGTAGCTCCGGCCCTCTCTAGACCTCAGCGCTGGCCGCCTTTGTTTCCTGCCCGCCACAGTGGCCGCCTTTGTCCTTGCGGGGGAAACCGAGGCCAGAGCCTTGGCGTACAGGCCGCATCGCCGAGTTCCCGCCCCCCGCTCCCGGGGTCCCCTCCCTGGGCGGTGGGCTTGCGCCACCGCGCTCGGGCCGACCCACTCGTGGCGGGCCCTGCGGCCGCGGCCGAGCCACTCGCGCTCTGGCCGGGGGGTGGGTCTCCCGCAGCCTCCAGGCCGCGCAGAGCCGATCCCGGGAGGGTGCGGGGACGGTGCTGCCGCCTCGCCGCTCGGCCTCGGTCACCGGCCCAGCACGCAGCGTGACCTTGGGGAGGGAGGACAAGGGGTCTGCCCGGGCGCGCTGACCGGGCGCGGGTCTCAGCTTTCAGTCATGGTCTGCTGCATAGCGCACATCGGAAAGCCCGCCCCGGACTTCCACGCCACCGCGGTGGTGGGTGGCGCCTTCAAGGAGGTGAAGCTTTCCGACTACAGAGGTGAGGGCGGCCTGGAGGGGCCAGGTGGGGGCGGGGCCCAGGCTTTAGCGGTCTAACTCCCCGTCTGTGCGCCCCCGCCCCCAGGGAAATACGTAGTCCTCTTCTTCTACCCGCTGGACTTCACCTTCGTGTGCCCCACGGAGATCATCGCTTTCAGCGAGCGTGCTGCGGACTTCCGCAACCTGGGCTGCGAGGTGTTGGGGGTCTCGGTCGACTCGCAGTTCACCCACCTGGCTTGGTAGGAGCGGGGGCCAGCTGGGAGGGTGGGAGAGGCTAAGCTTACACCTCTGTAGGGCCCGAGGCAGCTGTGGTGCCTCCCTTTCCCGTCTTGGAAATGATGATGGCAGTAATTAGCATTGGGAAACTAGTTGCTGTGTAGAGTTTCAGATGCTTTCTCTCTCTTGGGGCAACCCAGCCTCCCTCCCAAGCACTATTTCAAGAAGGTGGAAACTCCGGTTCAAGGGAGTGAAAGGCCAGGCCCCAGCACGCAGAGCTAGAGAAGAAGATGGGGACTCTAAGGCAGGCTGTCTGCCTCAAGATGCTGGAGGCCGCCAGCACGTGAAGCCACTTTGCTGGAGCGTTAGCTTAGTCTTCCCAGCTGTGGGAAACTGCCACTTCAGGGTGGGGTGGGTGAGGCTCCCAGGGCCTCCCTCTAAAGCCCCTTATCTCTCGCCTCCAGCACCCGCTCTCCAGCCCTTATCACCCCCAGGCCCACAAGGTGAGGACCCTGCTGTGCCAGGCCTCTTGAGGTCCTCGCCCTGTCTCCCCCACCCCCAGGATCAACACCCCCCGGAAGGAGGGAGGCTTGGGCCCCCTGAACATCCCCCTGCTGGCCGATGTAACCAGAAGCTTGTCCCGCGATTATGGCGTGCTGAAAGAAGATGAAGGCATCGCCTACAGGTACCGTGGGGCCTTCAGGGAGCTCCCATCCTCACGGCGAGGGGACCACTGTTGGACGATACCCTCCCTGCCCACAACTCTGTGGCTGGCAGACAGTCTGTGCTCCCTCCCCTGGCCCTAGCAGTGGGAGCTCCCAGCTCCTCACCATGAACGCTGATATCTTCAGGGGCCTCTTTATCATCGATGGCAAGGGTGTCCTTCGCCAGATCACCATCAATGATCTGCCTGTGGGGCGCTCCGTGGACGAGGCTCTGCGGCTGGTCCAGGCCTTCCAGTACACGGACGAGCACGGGGAAGGTGAGCAGACACACACATTGACGTGTGTTCACACACGGGTACACGCTCAGCTCCTCTGTCACTCATACCTTCACTGCTCGATCACTGCTGGATGTGGGGGCCCCAAAGAAGAGTCAGCTCAGGGTCTTGTCTGCAGGAAGTTTCTAGTCTGGGGGGACATACCCCAATACAAGGAGGGGGACTTGGGAGGTAATAAAGCTCCATAGAAGGTATTTGAGAAGGTGTGTACCAAGCAGGCTGGAATAATATTATTTGGATCAGAGGACCTTCCCATGTAGACACGGCCTGACCACGGGTCCTCGAAGTCCAGTGGAGCTGGGGCTGAGGGAGAAAGATGGGCTAAAGGGGCCAAAAAGAAAGAAAAACGTCAGCCAGAAAATCCGGCAGCTGGACTTGGAGGGCTTCTGTCAACATGCGGTGTGGTCTTGGGCCCAGACCTCTTGGCTCCGGGCTTGTTCTTCCACTCAAGGTCTCGCTTTGCCTCTGTTCGGCCCCTCATTACTGCCCCACCTTGAATATGGGGCTCCAGCCTCACACACGCATCCCCGTGTCTTTCCACAGTCTGTCCCGCCGGTTGGAAGCCAGGCAGCGACACGATCAAGCCCAACGTGGACGACAGCAAGGAATACTTTTCCAAACACAACTAGGCTGGCAGACGGGTGGCAAGCTTGGGCTCTTGGCCCCTCCCTGGGTGCCCCTCCCTGTGTGCCCCGTGATGACCCAGGAAAGACCAGATCTGCCCCTTCAAACTCCCATCACCCTCCACCCTGGAGGGCCAGGCCAAGGCCTTCTCATGCTCCCGGCTGGGAGCTGGTGAATAGTGACCCCCTTCCTGGAGCCCATGTAGCCGGGCACAGGCCTAGTGGTGACTAATAAAAGTATTAGGGACAGATGTAAGTCTGTGTTGGTGTGGTCTGTCCTGGTGTCACCGTGTCATTCCCTTTCTCCAGGCTCTGGCCTGGGAAACTGACGCTGTAGTTACTTATCTCCACCACAAGGTGGCAGTCTGACCTCACGCTCACTGCTTACTCTCTTCCCTTTCTCCTTGGCCTGAGGGCAGCTTGTCGGGGGGAGAGGGGGGCGGCGCGCTGTTTGCCCCTTGCAGCGAGCAAGTCCCAGGATGCTCTACATCCGGAGACCTAGCCATACTGGGCAGCGCCCACCCCTTGCCAGCAGCTAGCCTGGGTTCAAATGCCATTTAAAAGCCGTGATCTTCCCTGGGTCTCTTCAACAGTAAAATAGGAATGAAGACACCTATCCGTAACACCATGCACGTTAAAACAAAGTATGTGAAGCTCAGGGCCCAAGCGATGGTTATGAGGACTGGTCCCTGGGGCTGGAAGGAGAGGGTGGGGACCCAGTCCTGAGAGCAGAACCAAGAGTGAGAGCTTGTGCTGCATGCTCAGTCCGGGCTGCCAGCTCTGCCCCACCCCAGGCTGGAAGGGCTGCCGCCTGCCCCTGGAGTGGAGAGGTGAGGGTAAGGCTAGGAGGCAGGTGTTAGGAGCAAGACAGTGTTCCCAGGAGTGCAGTTTGATGCTGTGCCTGTTCAGACAAGTGGCTTTGCCACTCTGAGCCCCCATTACCTTCCACAGGACAGGACCGACAGGTTCATTTAATCCACAGACCTATTAGTAATACTGTTATCCAGCCTAATACCCTCCGAGGTCACTCATCTCAGCCTGGAATTTTATCCATATTCCACCCCAAGGCCCGGCGTGGTCTTCCCTGACATCTCCCCGCTCCTGGCTCACTCCCTTCTAGGCACACTGGCTTCTTGCTGTTAACAGGCTGATCTTGCTCTAGTCACAGGAACTTTGCATGTGCTGTTCCCTCTGTGCGGAAGGCCGTTACCCAGGATTTTCTCAGGGCCCGGCTTCAAAACCGTGAAAAACCGCCTCATTAAAGGTCCGCAGCCCCAATCCATTCTCCAAAGCAGCTCACCGCCCCTACCCCATCACTACCACCTTGACCTGTTTTTTCCTTTCCTGGCACTTACCACCATCTCCGAATCACGTCTGCTTGTTTATTGTCTGTCTGCCGTGGTCCAGGCTGGGTCTCCAGGGCCCGGTTCACTATGTATTTTATAAACGAATTAATCAAGTGTCTGTTCTGCCCACCCCGCCCCTGTGGCCTGGTTTCTCCGCCTGCGTTTTTCTCCGCTGCTCCGGGGGCTTCCAGCTCCGAAGCCAGCCAGACCCCCTCGGGGCGCACCAGCCACCCTCCCACCCGGCCCAGCTGCGGGGGAGGGAGCCCCGCGCGAGGGCGGTGGCGGCGCCCAGCGGCCCGAGCAGCCGCCCCGGCAGGACCAGACCTGGCAGTCGCCCCGCTCCCGGCCTGGCACCCGGGAGGGGAAACTGGCAGGCGGGCACCGCCCTTCCTGGCGGGGGTGGGGCACCGCGGCGGCAACGGCGCGCAGGCAGCAGCAACCCCCCGCCCGGG